CAGATCAACCTTTTTTTTTTTTTTTTTGGGCAATTTGTAATTGTTCTCAATTTTTTCTTCTTCTTTCTTTAACTCCGTATCTGTCGGTAGTGTCGAAGGCTTTATGATCTGTCCCCACCTCGGCAGATAGGAGGACAGCTACGGTGAGGATGACGTGAATGTTCACAAGGATACCCAAGCAAGGAGAGCTGCGCCAGCACTACACAGCATTCAGCAGGACGGCTAGCACGAACCATCCCATCGAAACAGTCCTGCCAGAGGACATGTTGTCCACATGTGTCAAAAAAAAAAACAGCATCACAGTGCGGCATCATGCAGTCCTGATAGCGTCCTTGGGCACAAAAGGGACAACGTATATCTGGGTGACAGGGATGTGTACAATGAGGAAATGTTGGACGCCCTTCAGCACAGACGGCGGTAGTCGCAATAGATTGATAATGGCTATGGCATCGATGATGCCTTCCACAGCTATAGATAGATAGATAGATAGATAGATAGATAGATAGATAGATAGATAGATACTTAGCGAATTATGTGTGTCATTATTGCCCAGGATACCACCGTTATACTTTAGAGGCGCTTTTTTTTGGGGGGAAGGAACCATTAGAATCGACAGCAAGATCATCGAAGCAGAAAAGGACTGCAAATGGGAATCTGTACCTTGCGACTACTTTTTTCTCCCTTTTGTTTTGACTTTTACTACAGTGTGTCCTAGTATAGGAAGAAGTGCAGCTTCATTAAAAAAATAAAAAAATAAAAATAAAAAATAAAAAATAAAAAAAAAATAAGAAATTGCAAAAAGAAAAGATAAGGAAAAGGAAAACAAGAAGAAAAGGATAGGACAACGCCGAGAGGATGAATGCGGCGGCCGGGGATTATTCAGTCGCACAACATCCCTCTTCAAAAAGATTGTCTACTAAAAAAAGATTGGGGCAGCGGCTCCTGGGTCACGGCTAAATCTGCATTCCCCCCACTTCAAAAAAAAAAAAACGGCCACAACAGTTTCAACCCCCCGCTAAACAAACTTGCACATCCTGAAACTCAAACAATGACATGGGTGCCACTTTTTTTTTTTTTTTTTTTTTTCCCTTAAAACATGGGTGCCACTTTATAGTCTGAAAGTGTGGCCGTTTCAAACAATAATATTATAAATAAAAAGTTTTAAATCTTTTTGGGGAAACTGCTCCTATTTCAAACTAAAAAGGTGACTCAGGAGCAGTTTCCCCAAAAAGATTTAAACTTTTTATTTATAATATTATTTATTTATTTTTGGAAAAAAACGGGATTGGGTCACCGCACTCTGGACGATAGGTAGCTAGCATTTCGCCTTTTTTGCTTTTTTTTTTTTTTCTTTTTTTTTTTTTTTTAATTCAGACATCACCGTTCCCTGGCCATTCCCTCGACCACCTCCTCCTCCTCCTCCTCCTCCTCCTCGTTTCGTTTTTCCTCTGACTCTCTCTACGACCTCCTCCTCCTCCTCTCCTCCTTGTTTCCTTGATATTCTCCTCCCCCCCCCCCCCCCCCCCCCCCCCCCCCCCCTCTTTCCCCCTATCCCCCTCTCCACCCCCCCCCCCCCCCTCCTCCTCCCTTCCTCCTTTACCCCCCCTTCCTCCCCTCCCCCCCCCCCCTTCTTAAGGGAACAACCCGGGTCAAGATTCTATGGGTGCTGATAAAAGAGCAGGCACCCCCAATGCTGTTTCTCAGATGATGAATTTGTTCTTTCATTAGCTGTAGTTCCGAAGCACAGTGTCATTGTGAAAACCCACCAAGGCCGACGAGAGTCCGAACCCCCATTAGAACAAAGCTTCAAATCAAAAAAAAAAAAAAAAAAAAAAAAAAAAAGCTTACGAGCCAGGGGTTCAATCTTCTCAGGGTTTAATATTGGAACTGATGGCTCAGTCCCCCGTCAGTCTGCAAAAAGGGGTGCTGGAGAGCCAGCACCCCTTTCCAGCAGGGTGCTGCACTGCTGCTCCCTACCAATAGAAACAAAGGAGCCATCAAGCGACGGGCCACTGCTAATGGGGGCTGCTCTTACCAAAACCCCATTAGCAGATAGCCCGCCGTTCTGATGTTTGAGGGGAGGGGGAGGAGGAACAGGATGCCCGATCCTACGGGTCACCGCAAAAGGTGCGCCACCCCCTCGGGTCGAGTACCAAGGGAACTATGGTAGCAGGCAGGTTACTACCGTTTTCACCGAATATAACGCACCCTGAAAATGAACGTATACAAGCTATGTTTCGGAACCGATACAGCCAAAGTGAGGGTGCGTTGTGTTCGGGGCAAGACGGTACATGAATCTATCTCCTCTTGGCGTGCTCAAGGGTTAAGCGGCTGGTTGATTTATCGGCTAATCAATCAGTGACTGTCAGGCATTAGCCAATAATCTGACTGGTTCAATGGCTAATTGATTAATTGATTGATTGATTGATTGATTGATTGATTGATTGACTGACTAATGGATTGTTTGATTGATTGCCTGATTGATTGATTAATTGTTCTTTCGTTTTTTCTTTTTTAATATGCTCCTATCTATTCGTGGGAATCATCACGTGCTGAGAATCGGACCCCGCGTGATTGATGGCCTGATTGATTGATTGATTGATTGATTGATTGATTGATTGATTGATAGATTGATAGATTGATTGATCGCCTGATTGATTGATTCATTGATTCATTGGTTCATTGATTCATTGACTCATTGGTTGATTGATTGATTGATTGATTGATTGATTGATCATTCGGTCACTATGAGGGAGTCAAGCGCGCGGTGAGAGGACCTTCTCTCTCACTCGATCGGCAACCTGTTCCTCCCTCTTTGTCGTTTTCCTTGCCGTAAGGAGGCAAGAGCCTCCAGGAGATTACCTCCACTCTATTTTTCTTCGTTTCCCTCATCTCCCGTGTTTCTAAAAATAAATCACGACCCTTTTCCGGTTCTTTATCCGACGACAAAAAGCGACATTGACTTCAAAAGTTGTTCCAAAAAAAAAACAAACTTGTTCTCGAAACTATAACCTCGCTTTCGGACGATCGAACGGTCGCCTCATCAGCTGCCTTATCGAGCCACCCACTAATTAGGCAGGTGGGCGGGAAAAGAGAGAAAGAGAGAGAGAAAGAGAGGAAGAGAGAAACACAGAGAGAGAGAGGGAGACAGAGAGAGAGAGAGAGAGAACCGAACAGAGAGACAAATTGGGCAGGGAGGAAAAGGCAAGGGAAGAAGGTTTAAGGACAGTGGAGATCAATAGCAATGGACCTCTTTTCTTCCGCTGTTTCCGGCGCGAGGCGATTGACAGGAACAGCTTTATTGGTCTGGTAATCACGCGCCACGAAAGTGTAAAGCGCAACCAAAACCTCCTCCTCCTCCGCCTCCTCCCCCTCCTCCCCGCCCCTTTGTGCCCGCCGAATTCCCCAAGTGCTCGCCTTTTCCCCTTCGTCTTCGTCTGGCAGCGAATTGCCGGGACCACCACCTTCTGAGGTGCTAGGCAAGAGTTCCTGTCTTTGCATTACCTTCACCCTTATTTCTATGGACGATCTCCCTACCCAAGTCACCTGCCCTTCGATCTTCATATCTCGATCAAGAAGCAGATGATTCTTTAACGATATCTTGTCGACCGATGCTGTGACGATGAGCAAGGGTCTAGTTGACACGTCATCGTCCGTGCAATGAACGTAGGCGATGGAGCCAGCGAGAGCGTCGAGATCCTCCAAAACTTTGCCGACGCGGACGTAGCCCCACGGATTACGATACTGCTCCGCGAACGACCGGTCGGTGGAGAAGGAGTACACCATCTCGCATCGGCTCTCGGAGGGAGTCCTCGTCAGCAAAACCGACGGCGGAGGCACGTCGATCGGTCCTTCCAGCATCCTCTGTCTTTCCCGCCATAACCGATCAACGATGGGGGAGCGGTGTTGACCTGGGCGGGTGGCTTCGGAGTCGCTGGAGACCGACCACGACCACACGTGGCGCACAGGACCGGTCCAGCCACTAACTCCCCGCGACCGGTCGCGGGACTCCGAGCTGCTCGCGGGTGTTCTTGCCACGTGTAAATCGTCCGATTCCCGCCGGCGCAGTCGATTATGTTCCTCCTGTTGGCGTTGCGGCAGTGATGGGGGCGAAAGCTCCCCCGCCGCTGCCGCCGACATCGCTACACAACCACCTCCTCCTCCTCCTCCTCCTCCTCCTCTCTGATCAACCCCTTCCAATCTACCGTTAATCAGCTGCGATCTGCCTCTAATCAGCGTCGTTGGGGGCGATAATGCACACGTGCAAACTGATCCGTACGCGGCTCCGCCTTTCCGGCCACGGTCGTGAGAGTGTCGGCTGGCGCTCGTGGCGGGAGATGGAGATGACCAGTTGGAGTCCCTTGGCGTGTCTATATAATTTCTGTTGACCCGCCGGCGCGCGGAACAGCTGGCAGAGCTATCAAGCGAATCGCTCGTGGAGAATCGGAACCAGGCGACCGGAAGGCGCCGCGCTACCGGTAGGCTGACTGCGCGCGCCATGGCGGAGACCGCCGTTCTCACCAGTCGAGCGTGCGGTGGAGGGGAGCGTGCCCGTGCACCCGTCGGTCGCCTGCACGGGGAATACCGGCGGATGCGCGGCCGGGGGGGTTGGTTGGTTGGGCCCGTGCGCCACGGAATTGGGCGGAAAGTTCCCTGTTTTCGATTTTCACACAGGCACGTAGGTAGCTAGCTGCACACGTCACCGCTTGTTTTTTGGCAGAGAGAGAAATCATCAATGACGCTGGGATGCTGCAGAGGCTCTTGTCCTACACGACGTCACTTTTCCACGGTGGCATCGACGACATTATCCTGGTCGCTAGAGGACGTAATCGTGGTCGTTTCGAGGACGCCATGGCTGACGTTCCGTGCGGCACAGGCACCCACCGCAACGTCACTCTCCTCTCTGATTAATCACCGGAATTAACAACCGGAATCTGGAGACGTCCTTCGCCGAGATGCAGAAGAGCAGATCAATCACCGTGTTCTGCATGTCCTAAAAAACGTCCAGTTCATGCATTAAAGCTGACCCTTTGTGCCAGTGGGACCTTGCCCCCGGCCGATTTAGGGTAGGGTGATGTGATGGCACCCCAATCTTCCTTCTCGACCGCATACATGATTACAGAGCTGCGTCTGACTCCCATCCACGCGTGGCTTTTTCTGGAAGGAAAAAAAACGAAGTACCAACGGGTCCAGCTCAGGGCATACTCAGGGCACGCTCACACTAGGTACCCAAATTCCCATAAAATGGGAAAATGGGAACGGCCGTTTTGAGGAAATGCGGCCCTGGCCGGTCACACTGCGTTCCCAACACGCTAACGACACCGTCCCTACATCTCACTCTGCGAGGTGCTTGTGGAGGGCGCCGGTCACACGGTTGATACCTCAAATGGGAAATGCAATTATTCGTTTTTTATAATCTGTTTTTCTGTTTTTTTTTTATGGGGTCGTTTCGTTACTGCTGGCCATTTTTGTCCGTACGAACCTCTCTGCTGGTGCTCCGCGCGTCTCGCGCGTGCGCCCATTTCCCCAAATCTCCTTTTCGTCAATTGATAGGCCGCTAATATCGTGGGGTTCCATTTTTTTCTCCAATTTTGCACGGTAATTCGGAAAAAGATTGAGAATTTGCTGTAACCTCCAGGGGTCTGGTCCCACCTGCGGCCGTTGAGTTTAGATTCCTCAACGGTGTGACACCCCAAAAGCATTTAATAAATCTGAAAAATGCATTTCAGGCGTTTTCTGTGAATCTTACCCCGATTCATTACCACGTTGAATCTTACCCGGATTCAGCACCACGTGCAACGCGATGTTATTATATGGGTCTAGCTCCCAAAAAAAAAGGAAACATACATGGACAAAGTGACTGACAGGCATGGCGGTTACCTTTTTTTTTTCCCTCCCAAAGCGACTGACACACTCCCCAACAAACGGGGAACGGCGCGCGGCGAAAAAAGAAGTACCGGAAATGCTAAATCATACATTCAGCACGTTGAGATATCTACCCTCTACCGTGGAGGGTAGCTTTCTCAACTCCGTGGCGGTTGCCCATCCGGCCTTTCGTCCACTGCGGGACTCGGTACGAAGTCCTTATACAATTTAAAAAAAACATGAAATTATCCCAACGAATATCCCCCTTCGCAAAAAATTCAGACCATCGGATCTCAGCCCTGTAGATCCACGTCCTGTCGAACGTTGTTACTCGTCGTCGAAAACCTGACGCTGAGTTAACTCAACAACGCAGGTGGGACTAGACCCCAGAGGTCACGGCAAATTTCCTCCCCCCACGGCTTCGTAGGCCGCTGACAAATGGTCACCCCTTTTGAGAATTTGGGCAGATGTTCACCATGTGTGACTGTCCGGGAACCCTTTTGGGGGGGCTAAATGGGATTTGGTACCTAGTGTGAGCGTGCCCTCACAAGGGGACCAAAAGTCTCAAAAATTTGAGGCATTTGGTTCGGGTTTTTTTAGGCATTTGGTCCCCGTGTGGTCACACGGGCGGACTTCATCCAGAAAGGACGAAGTCGCGACCCTAACACTTTGCACTCAGGGCAAGTGCACGGGCGGTCACACGGGCGAGGACCAAACAAAAAGATGGAAAATTTTTATTTGTTTTAAACCACCAGTACCTCCGAGCCTGTTTTTGCCGACCCTTATTTATAGTGCACGCCGATTTTTTGCCGACCCTGTGTCCAGCGGTACCTCCGAATATGTTTTCGTTTTTATTTTGTTTTGGAATACGGTAACGTTTCCACTTGTGGCCTAGTCGTCCTGCGGTACGGCCCTGCGAACGGACACGTGCATGGGCGGGTCCCTGTGGTGTAGGGCATTTTTCGTGGCCGTTGTTTTTTTTTTGTTTTTTTTCGAATTTGTGTACAATTTTTTTTGCGGGCCCAACCAGCGTGTCGCTTCGCCGGCGACCGGTAGCGTGGAGTGCAGGGCGGTAGTCGTCCGCACTTTCGCCGATGGACGGACGCTAACGTTTGCCATCGCCGCCGTCACGTCCCGACCTCTGTGTGTGTGTGTGTGTGTGTGTGTGTGTGAGTGTGTGTGTGTGTGTGTGTGTGTGTGTTATACATGGCCTGCATCGACCCAATCGACGTAGTGGATGACATCATGTCTTCGCGCTGATTGGCTGTGCAAAGTGCATGGCAGAAATCTCTCTCTCTCTCTCTCTCTCTCTCTCTCTCTCCTTCTCTCTCTCTCTCTCTCTCTCTCTCTCCCCCTATTCGTAGTTTCGTCGTCGTGTATATAAGTTAGTTGTCGCTGTCATGGATGTCAACTTCAACTTCGAAAGGACAACTACGACGTTGAATGTTGACATCCATCGCCGCG